GGGGGGGGGGGGACCATGTGCAGAGAGTGAGTGCAGTGCTGTACTGTATATATAGAGGCAAAGAGATGAGATTAAGATTTCACACTTGCTGCTACCTCCAGCTTTTCTCAAAGCTGCGCCTTCCCCGAGCTCCTCCCAGCCCGCTCTGTATCTTCATCTCTCCTCTTCTTCCAGAACTAATTCCTTTATCGTTTAATTCTGTTATCGCTGAACCGGCAAGTGCTCGGGTTCTCGCGCAGAGTCCTATCACACGGCTCGGCGCGGTGGAGAAAACTTTCAAGGAAACGCACGTGAGCTCCATTTAAAGGGATTTACACAGGGGGGGGGTGGAGCTCGTTTTGCACACGAGCTGCTGTTTCACACTCACGGGAGCGCAGGTAGATCTGAGGCGGTCTGCGAGCGCCGCGGCCCTTTGAGAGCAGAGCAGATAACTGGGTAAACACGGCAGATAAACGCAGACAGCTTCATATGGCTCCCAGGCCTCCCTGCTGGCTAATGGAGCAGGCTAACATGTGAGAGGAGAGGAGGAAGTGTGGAGCTGCTGCAGCCACGTCCTGCCACACAGCTGGTTTCACTGGTGCACACAGTAAAGAGAAGGTTTCAGTAACTGGAGGAAGAACCAGCTGTTCACTGTCGGTCAGAGGTTTTAGAACGACTCAGTTTTTAAAATTAATTTAGAGGTTAGAAGAAATCAACAGCTGGAGATTTTCAAAAACAAGGAATCATGAAATCTTTTTAGTTGAATTAAATTTAATCTAGAACCAGTTGTTCCCGACCTCTTCCAACTCACGGCCCACATCCGTAACAACACAGAGGCCAAATAATCCGTAATCCATAAAACATTTAAAAACATCATTTACATACAGTATAATATACAGTATATACATATATACATCTTCTTCTCACCTAAACTCTACTGTTTTGTAAATGATATTTATCGGCCCACTTGTAATACCTTCTCGGCCCACAGGTTGGGAACCACTGGTCTAGATTTGTGACTCATCCAGGAGCTGAAGTCGTGACGTTTCTTTCTACAATAGAAATCCACCTGACCTTTGACCATTTACGTTTATTCCCTGGACTTCGGCTCAATAAGAAATAAACCTTTTGACCAGTAGTGGAGCTGAATGATTAAATGACGTGTGTGTTTTGTAAGTAAACAGCCAGTTAAACCAGGAGGCAGCGTTAAAGGCCCGTCCCCTCCGCTCATTGATTGTGATGGTTTTTTTTCCTCCTCATTGAGACGCTGTCACCTCGGGCTGAAAGCTGCTTCTAACTGCACCGAGAGGCCGTCATCGTTAGTGTCATATCTTTACTGTAAATGACTCCGGAGGGGTTCTCCTCTAAATGGACGAGCATTAAAGCTGGAAGCTTTACAGCAGCAGCTCCTCCTGCTGAAGCCTCGCTGCAGGACTGTGTGCTGGTGCGCTCATCGTGTTTGTCCACGGTTTAAAAACTGAAGCTTCGACTCCGTTTGCTCAGAAATTTACCTCCTTATGAATCATTTTTTATTCATCCATCTCATTTTAAAGCTCCACATTTTCTTCTTCTCCTGTGTTTTATTTGAAGCCTTGATCCATAAGAAGATATATTTGTGGTTTTTAAGAACCAAAAACCATCTCAGCGTAGTTTTTGCCAGTGGGCGGGGCTTTGTGACTGCTTTGTTGTGACATCACAAAGTTCCAGAAGTCCTGACGGCTGGTTTTAAGGCTCAGTTTCTGAATACAGGCTGTGTGCATTTCTCTGTGGACTGAGGCTTTGATACTTTCACAGTATTAATATAGAAGCTAGAGCTGATCTATAATCACACTACACATGGACATCTCAGTGTGGGACTTTTAATGAATGAATTAATGATGTTATTAGCAGTTATTGTTCTTTACTGGTGGGACGTAATGACAAGAAAGTAAAAGTGTAAAAATGAAAACCAGCAGGGATTCATTTAATTTTATGACTGTGAAATAGATATGAAATAGTTTTTCTCTGAGGTATTAAAAAGGTCATAGTCCTGAATTGAATTAGGTGAACTCACTACAGGAACCATGAATTTAATATCAGACAACACTTGGACTTTGGTTCAGGGAGCAGAGATAAGCTGCTGTGTGATGCACCTGTAGCCAAATAAGCTCCATCCAGTGGAGTATGTATGGAGATAATTGTGGGCCTCTCCATCTGTGTGTTTTACTCATCAGACAGACTCTCAAACTAAATCACATCTCTAGGTAATTATCTCCTCGGAAAGTTAGAATTGCCTCCTCGAGTGTGTTTTTTCAAAGCGCTTATGAAAAATAACAAACTGCTCAAACGGCTCTCGGCGGCCCGGAGGAGAGTTTCACCGGGAGACTGTCGGCGTCACGTCAGCCTTCAGTCCTGACAGCTGTGGCGAAGCAGCTGTTTGCACATCAGTCCGCCGAGACGAGGCGTAATTACAGCGTCTCCTCCGCCGACCTGTGTCTCCCACTTCACCCCCACCACCAGTCACAGAGCTGAAGTTTTAATAAGAGTGACCTTTCCTTCAGACCCCGATTCCTGCCCCTGACCTTCTCTCCCTCTCTCTGTCTCTCTCTCTCTCCCTCTCTCTCTCTCTCTCTCTCTCTCCCTCTCTCTCTCTCTTCATCAGTATGGACGGAGCAGACCTGTGCTTCGAGATCGTGAAGAGGGCAGACGCTGGCTTCGTCTACAGTGAGGCAGTGGCCAGGTGAGCGTCGTGCACCTGTCTCCCCTCCTCTCCTGCTGTCTGCGTCATGTGGGCGTCCTGTGTTGACTTTCTGCTCTGATGTCTTTCCCCCCTCAGTCACTACATGAGACAGATCCTGGAGGCGCTACGCTACTGCCACGACAACAACGTCATCCACCGGGACGTCAAGGTATTTCTGTTTGTCTGTGCTGCGGCCTGACTCACCTGAAGCCGCTGGAGATGCGCTTCATATGTACAGTTCATACAGTTTTACATACATGTCTGACATCTGCTGCACACGGGTTCTGTCCCCACATGTTTACATGAATATAATCTGTATTCCTGCGCGCCGGCGGCAGGCGGAGCCGGAGGCCGTATTGTTTCAGGTTGTCTGTCTCGTTCTCGTGGACATGATATCTCAGTAGAAACATTCACTAGGAGTCAAGGATGACCTGATTAGACTTTGGTGGTTAAAGGTCAAAGGTCAAGGCACCTCACACAGCAATTATGACACAATCCCACACCAATGGTTCATATTTTCTCTGACTCTGGATACACAGGGATGTGACCTGGAACTAGTCTGAGTGGCGGAGGGATACGACCACGAGGAGGAGGTTCTAGTTTTACAGATATGACAGATGTAAGGTTTCTGTCAACTTTGGGCTTTGCAGCATCATTTTTCTAAATACTGGCGGAGGTCAGAGTTCACATTGTGTTTCTGTTCCCGTCACAGAAGGAGGAGGTCAGTGAAACTCAAAGGACTGGCTGCATGTTCATTCTAAATTCAAAGTTCTAAACTTAAAGTCATTTAAAGATAAACGATTAGTCAATTAACCAGTGAGTTGGTCAACAAAAATATTATTAAAATGCCAAATATTTAATGATTCCAGTTTCTCAGATCTGGAGATTTCTCTCTTTTAAATGATTTTAGACTGAATTTCTGAGTGTTGAACTGTCGATCAGACAAAATGAGATATTTGAAGATGTCTGCAGGGACTTCAGAACCGTGGCTTTTTACTATTAAATCATTAATCAATTAATTGATAAAATATGTGGCATTTTAATTGATCGTGGAGATAAGTAGACAGAAAAAAATCAGCAACCAATTTTAATAACGGAATAAACGTTTCAAACAGAAATGCAGGTTTCAGCCTCTCGGACACGAGTAATTACTTTTAACTGAATATTCTGGGTTTTTAACTGTTGATGAAACAATGTGAAGATGTGACGCTGAACTCTGATGCTCCGATTTTCATTGTTCTCTGATATTTTATAAACTAGATTTAATTTACAGTTACAGTTATAATTCACAGAATGTTTAAAGCTTGTTGTTTGGGGCGTTTACAGTCACACGCCGAGGTTGGAGTTTTCAGTATCTACTGGAGGTCAGTTAATTAGTCGTTTCCTTCACGGTTGTTAAAATCTCAGAAACGTCTTGTTGTTTTTAGTGAATTGAATGAAGCAGAAAGAGAAGTTGAAACTGCAGCTTCTACTTCCTCATCAGCATCAGTCCCTGCTGCTCCTGTTTCCTCCTGTAGGTGGCGCCTGTGTGTCGAGCTGCTCTCACAGTGACTGCTCACAATCTGCTGCCTGCACTTCCCTGTAGTGTGTGTGTGTGTGTGTGTGTGTGTGTGTGTGTGTCCTGACATCACGCTGACTGAAGGGCTCCCATCGTGCCGGTGCACTGAGAGAAAAGCAGGAGACAGTTTGTCCTTCGTCGGCTCGCGTCATCTTTTCCTCTTGACGGCGCCGATCAGAGCGACCCTGATCACTGCTGCGTATAAGACTCTTTTAAATCAGGTGCCGTGTGAACAAAGTGAAGCCACTAATCACTGAGGGTGGACGGAGGCCCGGCTGCCGCCCGCTGCGTGGTGAATGGCGGGAAGCTGTGGACTGACAGTTAACCTATAGCTTGTACGGTGGGAATCCAGACGTCAATTATGAGATTTGCTTTGATTTCCTGCAGAATTAATATGTAAGACGTTGTACTGTCTCAGTTTGTCTGCACAGCTGTGATTTGTGCGTCCGTGTGAAAAGGTCAAAGCATCAGAAGTGCTGTAGTCGTGTGGCTGCACGTCAGTCTTTGTGTCTGTAGGTGTCAGCAGCCAGTTTTAACAGAGTCTTATAATGAGTTTCTAGGGGGGGGGGGGTTGCATTCAGAGCTGCATCTCTTATCGTCACACTCTGCACTCACAAACACACAAACACACAAACACACAACACTCCCTCAGCTCCTCCCCCGCTGTGAGTGTAATGGCTCCTGTGTGATATTCATACAGCTCCTCTGCTGCTTCCTTTTATGTGGCTTTTATTGCCTTTTTCAAGAGACTCATAATGCATATTTTATTACCACAGTCAGCCCCCAGCCTGTGGAGTCCCCCCCCCCCCACCCCTCCTCAGCTTTGTCCTCAGGTATTAGTCATCACACACAGTCCTATCTCTGTCTGCAGTCGGATGAATCACCGGCTCATTGTCTTTATGTGAGCGATAGTCAGCCTGTGAGTTCAGAGGGGCACCACCTGAGACATCTGTTTACAGCCTGTGTGTGTGTGTGTGTGTGTGTGTGTGTGTGTGTGTCTGTGTGTGTGTGTGTGATTCTCTGCATCTCGTGGTTATTAAGATGATATCTCTTTTATTTTGCTCTTTAGTCTTCTAACCCTAAATACAGGAATAATTAGCAGAATAATTGATAAAGAAAATAATTAAACTGCTTATATTCATTTTAATACCATGTTCCTTTATTTTGGCGGGACAGGTCAAGGGCCATGATTCAACGAGAGGTGTCACTAATTAGTGGTCAGACCGGCAGGGGGCGTGTATGCAGTGATTGTGGGTAAACGTGTCATGGCTGTCTGTCACTGCAGGGCGACGGGTCAAAACATCTGTTAACATGAACGCTGGGTTTCCATAGTAACGCTCACCAGCTTCAGACAGATAGCAGTTAACTGCAGTTCAAAAGAAGGCTGTGTTCAGGTCACAGCCTCATACTGACAATAATGATACGACACAGCAGCGTCACGTCATCGACTTCCTGTGGTTCACCCGCGGCTACAGGTGATGTTGTCAGGCCGTCGGCAGAGGTGTGGTCAGTGTCTGTCAGACTGCTGGAGAGTCTGTCAGTCCTTCTGCACATTAGATTATAAACATGCTCAGATAGAGAGAGAGAGAGAGAGAGAGAGAGAGGTCGGACTCAAACCAATGGCCGCTACGATAGGACTGAGCCTGTGTCACCGAGGCGACATAATGATAATAATAATAATAATAATAATAATAATATCTGGGCCTGACAGTAACAGTCTGACTGAGGGACTGAATCATTGACACATTGTCTGATATGTGACAGTGTTGGGTAATACACAGTCAACTGTAGGAACACACACATACGATGAGAACGTGTGTGTGTGTGTGTGTGTGTGAGAGAGAGAGAGATCAGTGTGATACAAACACAGCTTTGACATTGGCTGACGGTGGCGTTCACTTCTATTATCACCATCGAGCAGCGACTGTGAGCTCCTGTCTGCAGCTTATCAGATGTACTGTCCAAGATGTATGCCCTTTACACACACACACACACACACACACACACACACACACACACACACACACACAGCCGTCCTTGTTGAATATGGATCAGCGTGGTTGTGCCTCTTCTTTTCATGCATGAAAGTCACTGAATTCATTTAAAGCTGTTGTTCATAAATCACCGTCATGTCGTATACGTATCTTCTTCCTCCCTCCACCACAGACCTCCACCTGTGACGGCAGCACAGGTGTGACTGTGTGTCTCTCTGCTGCAGACTGAGAGGACAGGTTTACGTGGCACGTGTTTGGAGAGGACGGTGTGAAGGTGAACCTTTGTTTGTGAGACTGTTTGTGCTGCACTGTTTTGAAGCCTCGCGTTTGATGTGCAAAGCACAGATCCTGAAGTTGCGTCGAGCGATCCGAGGAATCCGTAAACACGGCGAAACTTTTGATGCAAACGCAAATGAAGAGTGAGTCACAGCGGCGCGGGCCTGCAGCTTCCTGCAGCGGCGTGTCTTTGTTCTCCAGGTGTACTCGGGTGAAGGGATCTCCTGTCAGACGCTTCAGGCTTCACATCGGTGTATTTTACAGTTTGTCTTCCTAGAATATACCAGAGTCTCTGCAGGACGACAGAAACTTTGCACCAGCGTCAGAATTCACAGCTTCACAACATTTCTGCTTCACATGGTAAAGATAACTTCTCGTGTCACTGTGGTGAAACGTCTTGGCTGGTTTTGGTTTACAGAAGTGAACATCAGGAACTGTTGGTGTGAGAGGCATCAGTGCTAATGGGTCTGTTTCAGTCTGTAGTGTATGACTGCTGCTGCTGTCTCACTGTGTATTTACATCAGGTGTGCAGCTCTGTTTTTAGATGCTCAGTCAAATTGTGTTTGTCCTCATTCACTGAACATCTGCAGCGAGTTTTTACAGCATAAAAAAAACATCTGAGGAGAACAGCAGCGCTGACAGTTGCATGTTCTGGTCTCATGCAACATGTATTTTAAGGTTTATTCTTCTTCAACAGCAAAAAATATAGTTTTTATTCCTCCAGTCAGAGCCGGAGACATGTTGTTTTCAGGTCGTCCGTCTCACTCTCGTGGACACGACGTCTCAGTAACGCCTTGAAGGAACGTCTTTAAATTTGGCACAAAAACATTCACTGGGACTCAAGGATGAACTGATTAGATTTTGGTGGCTAAAGGTCAAAGGTCAAGGTTAGTGTGACCTCACAAAACCCTTTTTAGCCATATTAGTGTGGACGCAGCCTTAGACACCTGATGGTAATTTGTGACGAGCTGAGTAAATATATGATAGATAGATAGATAGATAGATAGATAGATAGATAGATAGACAGACCGATAGATAGATAGATAGATAGATAGATAGATAGATGACTTTATTAATCCTCGGAGGGAAATTAAAAACTATAAAATACAGTAAAAGACACAGACAAAAAATTAACGGGACCCAAGTACATGAATAAGTAAATATAAATTCACATGCACCAAAGTTTGAACAGCAACACGTGTGATAGATGGAGGCAAGTCTCGTTTCCCCATTGAATAGTTGAACGTCAGCTGTTTTTACACAGGAAATGGCCCCGGTCCACGCAGATCTCTTTATGACACACTCACAGGACTATTAGCAGAGCTGTTAGGGCTGTTTGTG